GGCGGCGGCGGCGGCGGCGGCGGCGACTGCTGCTGACCAGGAGGCGCGGGGCGCATGGCCTCACCATTGGGGGGCGCCGGGAAGATGAACATAGGTGGCGCCAGCAAGGAAGGTGCGGGCCTCCGGGGCCCAGGAGCTGGGTGCTTCTGCCCTCGCAAGGGTGGAGGGGAGCCCCAGGGCCCCGAGAGTGCGGCCGCGCGCCGTCGGGGCGCCCCGACGCCTCCGCCAGCCCCGTTGAAGCGAAAGTGGCGTTCAGGGCCTTCGGAGGGGCTCACCCAGTCGAATTTGGGCTTTGAACCTGGAAAGGTGGTGTAGGCGGGCGGCGGTAGGGCCCGGGTGTGGGACTCGGGCGCCAACGGGGCACCAGAACACCCTTCACTGTCTCCTTCACCGCCCTCGATCTCCTGTGCCCCACGAGGTACCTCTCCCGGGGGTCGAGGGGCTCCAGGCGCCAGGGATCCCTGCTTCAGGACCTGAGCGTAGGAGATGGCGCCCGAGGTGGCGAAGAGGCCCCCGCCTCTGCCGCCTCCGAGGGAGGCTTTGGCTGTTAAAGGACCTGGGGCTGCCGCAGAGGACAAGGGCGTCCCCGACTTGAAGTTGACTTTACACAGCAGGCTCAAGCCGGACTCGGAAGCCGCAGACCCGGCCATTTCGCCTTCGCCCGTCTGGGGAGGCGCCCCTTCGCAGGCCCCGCCGGCCGTCTGGCTCTCGGCGCTGTGCTTGGCCTGGCTGTCTGTGGGGCCGGTGGCGGAGGTTGCCAGGGCTGGAGTAATACTGCGGTTCGGGGGCTGCCGGTCGGAAGGTGGCGGTGGTGGCGGTTTCCGAGGCTCCAGGGGTGTCGGAGGTGGGACTGGGGCCCCCGGGGCGGAGTCCTTTTCAGTTAGTTGCCTGGGCAGCGGCGGCAGCAGGCGGAGACTCGGCGGGTCGCCCTGGCCGCGGTGGCTTGCCTCCAGCAGGCCTCGGATCCGGGGCACCGCAGGGCCTGTGGGCTTTCGCCACTTAGACGGCACGGGCAGCAGGGACCCCACGGGGGGTGGGGGCGTTGTGGAGACGGCAGCCGCAGCCGCCTCCTCTGGAGGAGGCATCACTGGCGAGGGCAGTTCTAAGGTCAGGGGCAGGGGTGCGGGTGAGGCCTGGGGCTCCGGGGGTACCAGGAGTCCCGGGGGCGCAGAGCTGCCAGGGAACCAGACACCCAGCCCTCGAGGCAGGCGCGTGGCCGGGGAGGAGGGGGTCACCTCGGGCGGCACCAGGGATGTCCGGCGGGAGTCTGAGGTGCGGTTCGAGGCCTGCTCTTTTTGGGAGCCCCCGCCCGCGGACGGCTCCGACTGCACGTTCCCCATTTCCTACAGAGATCGGAGATCGGGGACTGCGATCAGAAAAACTGCCAGTCAGTGAGCTAAGGCTGAGAGGACCCCGAGGTGCAGGCTGAACTAGGACTTCCCGGTCTGCGTTGGCCCCGCCCCTATCCTGCAATATCAATATCCACCCAGCGCGGGTCTCTAGTCGTCTGTTCCCTAAGGCTCGTAGCTCCTGCCTACTTTCTCACGGCCCCTCATACCTGCTGTTTAGTCACTCGGCCCCCAATCCCTTCGTGTATTAATGTTCCATCTTGCTCCCTTGGTTTAAATCACATCTCTACTGTTTGGCCATGCCTGGGTCTCCAGGTGTCAACACTCGGGTCTTGTGGGGCACGGTGGCTTACATCTATAATTCCAGCACCCTGCCAGGGAGGCTGAGGCAGGAGAATCACAAATTCGAGCCCAGCCTAGGCAACTTATCGAACTACTAAAATTTTTTTTTAATAAAACTGGAGATGTAGCTCAATGCGAAGACCCTAAGCTCAAGCCCCAGTACTTAAATAAAAAAAGACATCTTGCCAGTCATCCAGTCGTCTCTCAGGCCACACCGCTAGTGATGGTAGTGTCCAGGAGCTCAAGCTCTTCTCCCTGCGCTCTAACCAGGCTCTGGAGGACTGGGCCCCGCTCCGATGTTCAGGGAGTGGACCCTCATTCCTGCCCTCCTCCTCCCCAGTCTGGGCTGACCTCTAACAAGTACTGTACCGAGTATTCTGATCGTGCTAATCCCTCAGTGCTCAACTCTGGGCCTCCTCTCACCCGCCCCCTCTGTCAATCATTTGGATCCCACCCTCTTCCAGAGAGCGACAGCCTCAGTCCTAAACCCTCCCCACTCCCTTCTCTACACTCAGGCTCCAGCCCTCTCCTCGAACTCCGCCTCGGCTCCTTCACCCAGAAGACTCCACTCACTGACTCCTCCAGCCGACCCAAGTTCAGATCGCAGCCCCTTGGGCCCAGGATAGGGCGGGGAACGGCCGTAGCAGAAAATAACGGAAAAGAACAGGGATGAGGGTGAAGCTACGTGGGCGAGACAGCCCGGGCGACTCGAGGTCTAGGCCCCGCCCCCTGGCTCGAGGCCACGCCTTCTGAGCCAGTTTGAGCCAAGGCCTTCGAGCCCTAAGCCCCACCCCTTTAGAAGGTTCTCCTTAGCCCCGCCCCTTCGGAATGCTCCGCCCTTCACCGTTATTCTCTCCCAAAGCCCCGCCTAAGGCAAACTTGACTACTTAGCTCCTCCTTTTTTTGGGGGGGCTCTCTTCTGCCCCGCCCATAAGGGAATGTATCCCTAAAGCTCCGCCTTTTTAGGGTTGGCTGACTCTCTCGAAGACCAACTCTCTTTCCTGCGCGTGCCCCAGCCTATCCACCGTGGACCTGCCCCTTCCTTGATGCACCCTCTGGGGAGGTCCTCACTCAGACCCTCCGACCCCGCCCTGTGGCCAGGGCACCCTGCTCACCCCACCCCTTTTTGAACCCTGCCAGGCACCCAGCCCCTCCCATTTCGAGCCCAAATCCTAGACCACCCTCGTTAGAGCCCAGACATCAGGTCCTGTCTCTGTGCCCTCCTAGCATCCGCACCAGAGACCAATGGGGCGGAGGAGTGGGAAACGGGGATCTCCTCTGGGTCCTGAGGAAATGGGGGCTGGGGGGTTATTCCTTGGAGCCGTTGCCGGGCTCTAGGACCCAGCGGGCAAGCGCGCCCGGCTCGCTCTCTCCCCTCCCCCAACCGCCCCCTCCCCCCCACCCGTCCTCCAGGTTCCCCCTCCTCCCCCCTCGCGCCGGCTCCCGGTGCCCGTCTCCAGCGCCGCCGGAGCCAGCGAGGGAGCTGGAGGGAGCAAGAGGAGGAGGAGGCCGCGTCGCCGCCGCTCGGAGCCCGGCCGGAGCCTCCCAGGCAGGTGCAGAGGGCGGCGAGGGGGCGGGGGCTGCCGGACCGCCGGACCAGAAGAGGGGGCGGCCGGGACCGCGCCGCGCCTTCTGTGCACCCGGGCCCTTCGCGGACCTTGCCGGGAGGACCAGGGGGTAGTGGCCCCCAAACTGCGCGGCAGCCATTTGGGCTACCAGTCTCCATTTGGGGGTCTTGGACTTCCTCCGAGGGCGCCCCATTCACAAAATTCTGTCCTGGACCCTCACCATTGAGGAACTTCAAGGACCACTCCTCCTGGGAACACAGATGTGTAGGGAGCATAGGGCACCCTGAAATCCCGGTGCCCCATCCCAGCTAGGCCCTAGGGGGGGACCCCTGCCCTCTTTCCCTGCTTCACCTGTTGTCGGGGGAGGCGGGCGGACAAAGGAAGCAGCGTCACGTGACTGCTCATTCACAAAATCCCATCCCATTGAGAAAAGGGGGCTGGGGGCGCTGCGGCTGCCCCTTCCCCTCCCAAGGGCTGGAGAAACCCGGCACCCTGCAGGTGGGGGAGGGGGCTAGAACTCGTTCCTTGGGTCCCTAAGGTTGGGACGCCAGGGTCCCTACGCTGGGCGGCTGAGAGGGGCTGGACCTGGACGCTAGTCCCGACTGCTGGGCGGAGGGCTAGATCCCCCTTGAGCTGGGGGGCGGGGTAAAGTGTTTCTGAAGGGTGCTGGAGAGGGGGAATCAATCCCCCCCATCTCTCCCTCTTGGCTTCCTTCGGCTGGGACCTGAAGCAGCAGGCTTGATTTTTGTGAATGAAATGCTCCCAGGATCTCTTCGGTCGCCCATTTCTGGCTTCCTTTGCCTCCATCTCTTTCTCGGCCTCTCTTTCTGGCCATTTCTGGTTCTCTCCCTGCTCCCTGCCCATCTCCCCGTTGCTGGGTGACTCAGTGAGCTTTGCATCCGGTCTCATTCATAAATCCGGGAAGGGGTGGGGGGAAGAGAGCCAGGGTTTCTCACCCAGCCAGTGGCCTGGGCGACAGGGTGCGGAGGCAGTGTTGGGGGAATGGGAGCTGAGTTGATGGGCCCCGAGAAAATACATATGCGCAGGAACCCTGCTGTGAGGGGGGACATGGGTGGGGCTGTGGGGCTGTGCAGGGAGGGAAGGAGACAGAGTTGAGGGGATGAGCAGGAGGGGGAGGGGAAGTGGAAAACCCAGGCTGAGGAGGTGGGGATGGGAAAGATGGGGGAAAGGTGGCTATGGAGAGAAGGGGTGATGGTGGGGAAGAAGATAGATATGAGAAAGAAGAGATGTCATAGAAAGAAAGAAGCCATGCTGGATGAAAGTGGGCCTGAGGGTGTTTGTGGCCAAGGGTGCAGTAGGTCCAGATGTGAGAGACGAAGATAAGAGAAAGACCAGGCTTAGGGGAACACTGAAGGGGAGAGCAGGATTTGGGGGTCACTGACTGTTGTCCCTGTCCTCCTCACCTCCTCCAGGTACATGGTGCGGGTCCGAGCCGTGGTGATGGCCCGAGATGACTCCAGTGGGGGCTGGCTGCCTGTGGGGGGCGGGGGCCTCAGCCAGGTGAGCGTGTGTCGGGTCCGAGGGGCCAGGCCCGAGGGGGGGACCCGCCAGGGGCACTACGTCATCCACGGGGAGCGCCTCCGGGACCAGAAAGTGAGCCACCCTGGGGCGTGGAGTTGGGTGGGACCCTGGGCGGCAGGGGCTGGGGCTGGACTGCAGAGGAGAGTCAGGACGTCTCCCGGCCTGGGGCTGTGCTAGAGTGTGGGAGTGAATATGTCCTAGGGAGAGGAGCTGGGAATTTCGGGAGCATGTGAGGTATCAGGCAGATTCTGTCCACTGTGTCTCCTGCTGGTCCCTCCTTACTGGTGTCCCTGCCCCCTTCCTGTCCCCCCCAGCCCCAGTCTGTTCCACAGGGGGCCTGCTCACACCCGACTCAGATCATGTCCCTCTTCCTCTCAGAACCCTCCCGTGGCACCATCTTACTCAGAGATCCTCACCACGAGGCCCTACACCAACTGACCCCTGTCTGCCCTAAGTATCTGGAGGCATTTGCTGGGGGTCTGCTTGGAAGTGTCAAATTTGGTGGACAGTTTAGGTTCCGCAGGAATAGCTGGGCTGTCTGGCAGGATTTGGAGAGACAATGTGGAAGTCTCAGCTGGGGATGTAGTGGGAAGATATGTATTGTTTTGAGAAGGCTGGAGGAGACTGGCTGGAGCGGGTGGCACACACCTTTCTTTAATCCCAGCGCTTGAAAGGCTGAGGCAGGAGGATTTCAAGTTCCAGCCCAGCCTGGGGTACACTGCAAGGTCCTGTCAAAAAAGAAAAGGGGGAGGAAAAAAAGAAAAGAAGAGAAAGGCAAAAGGGGTTGGGGGAAGGATAACATTTCACAGCAGGGGACCGATGTGGGGGATTTGAAAAGGTGGAGCGGTGTGAAGGAGTTCAGTGAGGTTAGGCAGGGATATGAGGGGACATTCGGGGTGTTGAGGAACAGCGCTCACATCTGTGGCAGCATAGTAAGAATGCTTTGGGGTAAGTTTACGGAAAATCAGTGAGGCTTCAGAAGGGGATGAAGTGTCATATTTTGACATGTTCGGTAAAGTCTGAGGAGTACAACGGGGTCAGAAGGGAGAATAGCTGCTTATCAGAAAGGGGCTAACGATATTTTTTAGGCATTCAGTAAGTTTGGGGGCTCTTTCTGGGGCATCAGAGGGAGATGTTGGAAACATGTAGGGATCAGGGACTGAGGAAAAGATTGGGTATTAGGTTGCATTCCATGAGGTTGGGAAGTCATCCTGAGATGTCAGGGTTTGGGGCGCACTTGAGATTAGGAAATGAGGTTGGTGGGATGCTGGAGGAGGATGCAGAGACTCTGAGGGGGAGTCACAGGTGTGGGTGGGGAACAGGGTGTCTGACCCAGACCTTCCTGCCCCTCAGACCACCCTGGAATGTACCCTGAGACCAGGCTTGGTTTACAACAAAGTGAACCCCATCTTCCACCACTGGAGCTTGGGTGACTGCAAGTTTGGGCTGACGTTTCAGAGTCCCGCCGAGGCTGATGAGTTCCAGAAGAGCCTGCTGGCCGCCCTGGCCGCCCTGGGCCGAGGTGAGTGCCATGAGAGGCGGCGGGCACTTGGGCTGGGATGAGGGGTAGGAGAAGCCAGCCCACACTCACTCTGCCTCTCTCCCTGCCCAGGCTCGCTCACCCCCTCTTCTTCCTCCTCCTCCTCCCCTTCCCAGGACACCGCAGAGACCCCCTGCCCTCTGACGGTGAGTCTGGCTGCCTCCCTGCTGGGAGGGCAGGGAGCCATTCCTGGTCTGTAGAACATTCCTGAGCACCTGCTGCGGCCAGCACCAGGACACATGCTGGGGACCCAAAATTAGGCTTACACTATTAATGTCAGTTCAATCTCAGTTAATCTAGTTTTTTTTTTTGTTTGTTTTATGGTGATTCATTTCCCAGTACTTATTGAGCACCTCCTGTGTACCAGGCAATGGTTTTTTAGGCACTGAAGATGCATCAGTGGGTAAAATAAAGTTCCTTTCTTCTTGGAACTTTTATTCTCATGTGGAAAGGCAGGAGACAAAGGATAGACTTTAAAAATTAATACATATAAAAGTAAAGGGGCTGGGCATGATGGAGCATGCCTGTAATCCCAGTACTCGGGAGGCTGAGGCAAGAGGATGGCTGTGAGTTCGAGGCCAGCCTGGGCTACATAGTAAGACCCTGTCTCAAAACAAACAACAACAACAACAAAATATTAAAAGAAAATGGGGCTGGGGGTACAGTTCAGGTGTTGAGCACTTGCCTAGTACGTACGAGGCCCTGGATTCTATCCCCAGTGCCACAGAAAGAAAAAGAGAAAATAAATTAATGATGAAATGAATGACAACTCTGTGTACTACTCAGGCTCCAAACCTTGGTGTCATCCTTAACTCCTTTTATTTTTTATGCTTCTTAGTATATTGTCAGTAAATATTGTTTTACTTTCGCAATGGTCATACCTGGTACCATCCAACCTCATCTAACTGAACCATCTCAGCAGGTTCTTGTTGCTGCCCCCACCTTACCCCCAACTCTCTGATCCCCACTCACAGCCAGGGGGCTCCTATTGACTGTTGAGTCAGATTACAGCTTCCCCTTCTCAGAACCCCCCCAAGGCTCCTGCTCACTCAAGGTAAGGGACAAAGTCCTTACAGTGGCACCTAAGACCCCACACTAACTGGTCCTGGGGCCCTGTCCCCTCACTCACTCTGCTGCAGCCACACTGACCCTCTTACTCTCACTCCCAATAGGGCGAGCACATTCCTGTCTTTCAGCCTTTGCATTAGCTATTTCTTTTGTCTGGAACACTCTTTCCCGTGTCTCAGTGCCCCTATTTCTTTTTCTTGTCTTTTCTTTTGCTCTTGTGAGACAGGGTCTCGCTACATTGTTCAGGCTGGCCTTGAACTCACTGTGTAGCCCAGGCTGGTCTTGAACTCTTGGCCATCCTCCTGCCTCAGCCTCCTGAGTGCTGGGATTACAGGCGTGCACCATGAAAAGACTGTTTTCTTATCTTGGTGTACTGCCTCTGTCCCACGGTAGAATGTCAGCTGTAGGAGGGCAAAGATCTTTTGTTGTTGGTATGTTGTTGCATATCCAGTTCCTAAAACAGTGCCTTGTATACAGTAAGTGTTCAGTAAATGTGTTGGATAAATTGAGAGACTGAACAAACGAATGCACAGAATGTTGGCTACATTTTGACACTTGCTGGTCACAGTGGGAGTTGCTGAGAATACCTGGAGGAATAGAACTGGTTCCCTGGGTGAAGAGAGGGGAGAATCTCAGGATAATGGGAAGAGAAGGTGGGGCACAGACAGTTTCTGTCTTTGGGGCCCTTACTCAAAAGATGTTGTGCTCTGGCTCAGACCTGTACAGTGGCCTTTGTGTCCTGTGTGCCGCGGTGCTCAGTAGGTGTATACGGTACTGAGGGAAGTGAACAGATGCAGTAAGGATCATGGTCAGGTTACAGAAAGGAAAACTAAAGATCTGAGGAGTGATGCTTCAGCTAGAGCCTGATTCTGATGGGAAGGAAAGCATGGTGGGGGCAGGGGTCCCCAAAAGGTGTGGTGGTGGGATGAGGCAGGAAGGTGGCTGAGTGGCCAAGGGAGAGGGGTTCTGAGAAGCGAGAAGATGCTTTGATGTTCTGTAGGTTGGTGAGCTGAGCAGTTATGAAGAGGAGTCTAATAAAAATAACCACCATTTCCAGCTCTTCCTGTACTTCGGGCACGCGCTGTGCCCTGTACAATGGGTCCTAACCACATCCTTACCAATAGGTACTATTATGATCCCCATTTTACAGAGGAGGAAACTGAGGCTCAGAGGTGAGCTCTGAGGTGAGAGGGACTTGAACCCAGGCCTGCGCGGCCCCAGAGCCCTTGCTCTCTATGGGAGGGGGTCTTTGTGGGGACACGGGCTGTGCAGGGGACTCTCCTCGCTGAGGCCGCCTGTCTCCCCCAGTCCCACGTGGACAGCGACTCCTCCTCCAGTCACAGCCGCCAGGAGATGCCTCCCACCGCAGCAGCCCCCATCGTCACCGTGGAGTCCGCCTCTGCCTTTGGGCCGACCACACCCCCTCAGCGCCGCTGCTCCTCGGCTCAGGTGCGACCCCCAGCGGAAGTTTGGGTGGATTGGGGACTGGCGCTGGGGTCTCTAAGGGGGCTGGCGCTGAGGCCCAGGGGTGTGAGAAGGCATACACAGATCCCAGGGAATGGCTGATTTGACTGCTGAGTGGGCTGAGAGAGAGGCCTGGGTTTCTCCGAGGGTTGGTGAGAGGCTTCGGATGTTTCCTGCACTCTTGAAATTTGGGGGAGTTGTGAATTTCAGAAAGTCTTGGGGGATGACTTGGACAATTTTCCCGGTATGTTAGAGGAGGCTGATACTCATGGGAAGGCTCCTTAGAACTGTTTGGTTCAGGCATGGTAGTGCATACTTGTGACACAAGCACTCTAGAGGCTGAGACAGGAGGATTGCTGTGAGTGCCAGGCTAGCTTGGGCTACATAGTGAGTTCAAGACCAGCCTAAACTTTACAGCGAGGTCCTACCTCAGAAAAGAAACAGACCAAAAACCAAAAACAAAAACGAAAGCAAAACAAAAGACTGCTTAATTTACATAGGGAGGCTTGGGGTGAAAGGCCCAGGGACTGGACTTCTTCATTCTAAAAAAGGAGGTGGCTAGGGTCCAGACCTGCAGGATCTGAAGGGGCTGGGTACTGGGACTTCTGGGTCTTGAGTGGCAGAACTGGGAACCTTGAGCCACTAGGCTCTAGATCTTCAAGGTATGGTGTTGGTATCTGGATTCCTTTGCGTGTCTCTGGGAAGAGAGGGTGAGGGACCTTGGGGGTGGAGCAAGCTGTGGTCTTGGATGTCGGAAGCCGGAGCCTAAAAGGATTTTAGGAACAGGGTCCTTAGAAGCCTGAGGCCTGTAGCTGGGTCTTGGGATTTTATTTTTATTTATTTATTTTTTGGGCATTACCGGGGAATGAACCCAGGACCTTCATGCTGAGCTACCTCCCATCCCCTGCTCTTTCATTTTTCTTTTAATTTTGCGACTGGGTCTCGCTAAGTCACGAGTTGCCCAGGCTGTGCTTGATTTTGTGATCCTCCTGCTTTAGCCTCCCAGTCATGGATCGCCGGGAGCTGGCTTCTAGGTTCTTCAGAGACTGGGATAGATTGTGGTGGGGGTGGGTGAGTCAAGGGCCTCGCTAACCCAGTCTCCTTGCCCTACAGAGCTACCCTCCGCTTCTACCGTTCACGGGGATTCCGGAGCCCTCGGAGCCTGTGGCTGGGGCAGGAGGCCCGGGCTGGGGTGGCCGCGGCTATGAGGATTACCGACGCTCTGGACCGCCCGCGCCTCTCCCCCTGTCCACCTGTGTTGTGCGCTTCGCCAAGACTGGCACCTTGAGGGGTGCAGCCCTGGGTCCCCCAGTGTCATTACCAGCCCCTCTTACCGAGTCTATGCCCCCAGCACCCCCTGCTCGCCCACCCCCGGGCCCAGGCCCCACCCCTGCACCGGCCAAGGCCTCCCCGGAGGCGGAGGAGGCTGCGCGCTGTGTGCACTGCCGAGCGCTCTTCCGCCGCCGTGCAGACGGGCGTGGGGGCCGCTGCGCCGAGGCCCCGGATCCCGGTCGCCTACTGGTGCGACGTCTCAGCTGCCTGTGGTGCGCCGAGAGCTTGCTCTACCACTGCCTGTCAGACGCAGAGGGCGACTTCTCGGACCCGTGCGCCTGCGAGCCGGGCCACCCGCGCCCTGCCGCGCGCTGGGCCGCGCTGGCTGCTCTCTCGCTGGCCGTGCCCTGCCTCTGCTGCTATGCGCCCCTGCGCGCGTGCCACTGGGTCGCCGCTCGATGCGGCTGCGCAGGCTGTGGGGGTCGCCACGAGGAAGCTGCACGGTGAGGACCGCCTGGCGGGTCTCGTAACAGGACGAAGGACCCAGCACTGAGGGTCCAGGATCCCGGACTCGGATTTGGTTTGAACCTAAAACTCAAACCTAGGCACATCTGGAACTTGGAGCTTGAGTTTGAACTGAGAGGTCCCAGACCTGGAGGCTGGGCCCCAAACCTAGGACTGAGTGACCCTAGACTCAGCATCATTAGGATGTCTGGCAGAGGTCCTGAGTTGTGGATTCTCCATCCATCTTCCCCACTGAGGAGACTCCCGACCTCTCCAGACTCTGCATCTCAGAGGGCCCTGGGGAATACTCAGATCCCAGAGCGACACTGGGACGTCAGACTCTTGACCCTGGCCACATGTCCAGTCCAGACCCCTGCCACACCTGGCACCATGAACTCTTAGATTACAGCCCCAGAATTAGTCAGGAGTTGCCAATATCTGATCTTGCCTGCGTCCAATTACTCCCAGATCTTGTGACCAGAGGATCCACAACCACCCCCAAGTGGTCCCTGAATGTTCACCTGAGACCTGGTGTACCCACATCTGACACATTCTGTAGCTCCAGAATTCCTGAGACACCAAACCCTCCTGGGCTTGAGACTCTGATATCTGGAATCACCAGACACTGGCCCAGAGTCCACCCACTCACGCGTGCTCACAGACCCGACCTTCAATCCAGGAAGCCAAGATGTCCAGGTGACTCCGGATGCTGTAGGACAGCAGACTGAGCTGCTCTCTCGCTGTTCTGAGACCTTGTACTGAGACCTTGGATGTGCTCAAACGTGAGGTACTCTCTGACCAAAATGGTTTGGGAGCTCCCATCTCAAGCTCAGCCAGGCTCCAGATACCAGACCCCAAGATACTGTGGGAGCCAGGGATTGAAGACTTCCACACACCCTACTCACCACAGACCAGTGTTCTCGGGGGTTTTGGTTCTCATATATGGATTCTGAGGTGCCTGTTACCCCAGCTGTGTGACTGAAGGCCCCGGGCACCTCAGCCCAAGACACTGGTTTCAAATCCTCAAATAGCCTTCCTCTTCCAGTCCCCTTGAAGCTGGATTTTGAGACCCAAAATGTCCCAGAGTCAATCCCTGGCTTCCTTCCAGCCCCACATCCCTAGTCCCCGATGGTCATAGCAACCCAGACTTCTGATCCCTTGGCCCTCAGTGACCCCACCTGAGTGACCCCAAGGTGCTTTAAGAGCACTGGATCCAAGACTCCAAGGTGCCACTGACCCCCAGCTGCAGGACTCAAGCCCCCACAATATTGGGATTGTTCCTGATCTGAGATCGTGTTTCCTTCATACCAGAGACATTCAGATCCGAGATGCCCCAGAACCCTAGTACCCTCAGACCCCAGATTTCTGTTGCCTCAAATTTCTCTAGCCTATGAAACCCCAAGATGCCTCTACACCAGATTCCCCAGCCTCCACTCATGAATTTGCCATTCATGGCCTCCTGAAGCCCCAAGTTTCCAGACTCTGGAATTCTGGTCCCCAGGACCATAGCTCAAGCCCCCAGCAATCCTCAATCCTTATCCTTTATCTTAGGGATAAAGCACTACCATTCTGAACCCACAGTCCTGTATTCCCGAATCCTCTGGAACTCCCCACTTCCACCTATAGGGCCCAGCATGGCTACTGATGACTGTATAGGCTGTTGGCTAAGCACAAGCACACAGCTGTGGTGGTACATGGACTGCGGCTAAGGCTGCTGGCCTACCTAGGCCTTTAGAAGAAGGCCTGCCTTTTTATTATTTGCACATAGGCACCTTCTGGACTAGCTACAGCTCTGTGGGGACCCCTATCATGCCGGCCTTGTAGATTCTCCTCCAGACCCAATCCTGAGCCCTAACCCAGGTCCAAGGCCATCCTTCCATTAACTTCTTCCAACTCAGAGTCAGGAGTTGCTTTTGAAAGCCTGTTTCATGGCCCCGTGAGGCTCCTCTTTTGGGGAGAGTGGGATGTCCAGGGTACTTAAAATCTGGTGTCCTGTATGGGGGGGACTCAGTTCTTGGAGCAAGATAGCCTCAATTATTTCATGGGCTTGGGGCCTGCACATGGCCCCAAACATCTGGAAATGTGCAAACCTTTCTTCATTACCCAGATTTGAATGGCCTTGTGGAGTTCAAGGGATAGATCCTTCTATCGATTCTTTTAAATTATTAACTATTTATTGCATCCGGAACCTGTGAGACTCAGCTCTCCCAACCAGACCCTGGGATGGGTGAGAGAAGGGGGGGTGTCCCTCCCATTCCCACTCTGCCCAGCTCTCATCACTGTCAGACCCACCAGAGCTGAGGGCTGAGGGACTGGGGGCTGGGGCAGCCTGGGTCCCCATCCCCCTCTCTGTGCCTCGGTCTCCCCCCTTCCATGGCGGGCGGGGGGAAGCTCCATTCTTAACCTACCTCGTTTTAGGGAGGGGTGGGACAGGGGACCAGAGTGCTGCTTGGTGCTGTGGGATCTTCGGATAAAGTGGTGGGGGCTGGGGAAGGTTCCCAGCCCCTACCCCCAGCGCCGCCTCTCCCAGGTCTCCCAGTCCTGCTCCCTGCTGATACCCACCTCTGATCCATGATTCCCCTTCATGGCCCCCAAGTCAGGGGCTCATGGAGGGCTGCCCTGGGAGCCAGGAAGACCTCAGACCCTGGAACCCCCGGGCCCAATTTCCCAGCTGCTTGCCCCTCGGATTGGATGCTTGGCCCCTAGACTTGGGGGAAGCACCCCAACATTTATCTTCCTGATCTTGATTCCAAGCCAGACTATGACCTCAATATTGTTAGCATCAGTGCAGGCTGGGAGGATGGGGGCCAAAGACCCAGCCTTGTCATCGGGGGGAGGGGGGCATGAGATCCGCTCCAAGAAATGTCTGTGACAAAGTCTCAGCCTGTGGTCTTTATTTTCGTTGCCGTGCCTTGTCCACTTGCAAGACTGACGCACCAACCACCTACCTCAGTTCTTCCTTCCTCTCCGCATCCTTTAGTCTCACGCCAGCTGTCCTGCTGAGTTCCCTATGTGCAGTCACTCGGCAAGTGCATTCACTGTGCACCTGTTCTGTGCCAAAGCCTGTAGTAAGCGCTAGGGATAAAGCAGTGAACAGAACAGACAGAAATCCTTCGCACAGGAGTTCATAAACTTTATCCTGGCGGGGGGGGGACCTTAAGTAGGTGACCTAATCTGTTAAAAATGACATATACCATAGTGGATGAATAAGCATAAGGGATACAGGTATTTTTAGCCAGAGTGGCCAATGTAGGCCTCATTCAGTAGCTGATGTTTGAATAAAGCCATGAAGGAAGTAAAGGGTCCATACCTGTCTTCAGGGAAGAGCATTCCAAGTAAAGGGAACAGCCAATGCAAGGGCCCAAGGTAGGGGCCTGGCTTGCCTGGTTAAGTCTGAGGAACCTCGAGGGAGTTAGAGCATCTGGAAGGGAGAAAGGAGATGAGGGCAGAGAGGTGACAGGACAGATCTACAGGACTTTGCGGACATTGTGTGGACTTTGGCTTTTACCCTAAGTGAGGTGGAGCCACAGAAGTCTGGGCATGGGAGGGATCTGACCTGACTCACATGTCCAAGGGTCACCAAACAGACACTTGGAGGCGGGGCAGGGTGACAGTGAGAAGGCTGCTTTGATTGCCCAGCAGGAGACAGTGGTGGATGAGGCCAGGGGGAGGGCAGTGGGGCAGAGAGAAGGGAGTGGTCCTGATCTACAAGGGCAGATGGAAAGATATGGTAAATGTCTACACTTAAAAAAAAATTGATTATAGTAAAAGACAAATTGGGATTAACACCCCTCATAATCTACTGCTCATTTTGAACACATTTACCCCATTGCTTTTGTCACTTTCTTTTTTTTTTTTTTTTTGTCTTTTTTTTGTTTTTGTTTTTCTGCCGGTACCTGGAATCAAACTCATGACCTTGCACTTGCCAGGCAGGTGCTGTGCTGGTGAGCTAAATCCCCAGTCCCTTTTTTGTCTTTTTAAGACAGGGTCTCTCTATGCAGTTCAGACTGGACTTTAGTTCACTTTGTAGCCCAGGCTGGTCTCAAACTCACAACGATTCTCCTGCCTCGGCCTCCCGAGTGCTGGGATTACAGGCGTGCGCCACCACGCCCAGCAAAAGCTTTTGTCACTTTCTAAAGCAGTTTTGGAAGTCCTCTTTATGAAGTGTGATCAAAAATATGGGGAATGTTGCTGCCAAGGGCCATCCAAAAAACTCGTAAAACATTACAGTGTATACTTATCCACCTTATTCACCATATCTGGCACGTGTGACTTCCGGCTCTTCTCCGAAGTCAAAATAACCATAAAAGGTAAACATTTTGAATCCATTCAAGACATCTAGGCAACCATGACAGTGCAATTGAAGACATTCAAGAAAAAAGAGGTATAGAACTGCTCCAGAAAGTGGCAAGGCCCGGAGTGAAGGCACACGCCTGTAATCCCAACACTCAGGAGACTGAGGCAGGATTGCTGCGAGTTTGAGACCAGCCTGGGCTACAGAGTGAGCTCAAGGCCAGCCTGAACTGCATAGTGAGGCTCTATCTCAAAAAAAAAAAAAAAGAAAAGAAAAGTGGTAAGAATGATTCAGTGTGTTCAAAGCAAGGGGAAGTATTTTTTGAGGGAGACTGATGGCAATGTGTCTTTTACTATAATAATTTTAAAAATTTAAACACACACCATATTTTTTCACTATAGTTCTCCTGTGTGCGTGTGTGTGTTGGGGAGTAGGGAGTGGTTAAATAGGGTCTTGCTAGTTATTTCAGGCTGGCTTTGGACTCACTGTGTGCCCAGGCTGGCCTTAAGCTCATGGCAATCCTACTGCCTTAGGCTCCTGAGTGCTGGGATTACAGGTGTACACCACACACCTGGCTCACACTTTGTAGTTTGAAAGTAGAGCTCACAGATTTGTATATGGAATTTGATAGAAAGGAATCAAAGCTGGTGAAACAGCTCATAGCTCAGTGGGACAGTACCTGCTTAGCATGTGCCGGGTACTGGGCTCAAGTACCAAAAATTTAAAAAAAGGAAGATGAATAGAAGTTTTTGGAATAAACACCTTTGTGTGTGTGTGTGTGTGTGTGTGTGTGTGTGTGTGTGTGTGTGTGTTACTGGGTATCAAACCCAGGGCCTTTGTGCTAAACTATATTCTCAGCCCTTATTTCTTAAGATAGGGTCTTCCTAAGTCACTCAGTTGCCCAGGCTGGGTTTGAATTTTCCAGCCTGCTGTCCAGTCTGACTGCTGAGTTTACAGGGGTGTATACCATGCCCAAGATAAGTAAATTTTATTTTTTTATTTTTTTATTTTTTGTCTTTTTGAGACAGGGTCTCGCTATGCAATTCAGGCTGGCTTTGAACTCACTTTGTAGCCCAGGCTGGTCTTGAACTCAAAGCGATCCTTCTGCCTCAGCCTCCTGAGTGCTGGGATTACAGGCATGCACCACCACGCCTAGCCAACTTTTAATGTTTTATTTGGGTTAATAAACATCCCCATGAGTGCCCAGATTTGGGGTAGGCAAGAATATGGAGACACCAGATTAAAAGCAGGGTCTGCCCCTAATAAATAAGTTCTGATCCTTGTTCTTTCCTGAGTTTCTGAGGCTCCCAGCCCACTCCTACTCCCAGTGGAATGAGGACAATCAGGGAGATATAAGAACTAGAATAATAATTTATAACAATAGCAACACAGCCAGTGGCCGTAGTAACTAGGCTCAATGGTTAAAAAGTATGGAATTTGTGAGTAACTGTTGAATCCTGGCACCACCATGAATGTACTGTGACTGTGATTTTCCATAAACTTCCTCTGTAAAACGGAGATAAGATTTAACCCAGTAGCAAACATTAAATGCTCAATATATGCGAGTTGCTTTTCTTGAGCACACCCTATGTGTCTGTTAAGCAATGTTTTTACGTTAAGAACTAGTCAGTCCTCACCGAGAACTTTAAGCGCAGGTACTATTCCCACCCTTTGGAAGCAGCTTGGCAGGAGCTGGCCAGTGGAGTCAAACCCTAATCCTGTCTGCCGGCTTCCTAGGGTGCAATCTCCTGTTTAGGATGGTGTATCGCACCTGCTTCCTTATCCTAGGGATGCAGAGGGGTGGAGGCCTTAGGGGCACGTTGCAATCCGGGAGAGGATGGCCTAGCTCCAGTCGTGAGTGTGAGCGGTGAGCCAGGATTCCTCGGTCTCTGATGTAATTAAGGGGCAAAAGGAAGAGGCAAATTTCTGCGTTTGGGACAAAGTTGGGTGAACAAAATTTGCTTTGGGGTGCTGTAAAATTAGAAGGCAACTGAGGGAGACTGAGGAAAGAGATCGAAGTTGCTTCTATGTCGTCACAATAGAGACCCTCACTAGCCTGGTCGCCAAATGCCGGGATCCCCCCTTTCCCCGCCCTCCCAGGAATTTATAGCCCCTGACAGGTTATTTGAAGGACCGCACCGGTGGACCTGGGGGCGGGGCTCTGCCTTCCCTTGCACCAATTGGAGCACGGAAGTTCCTCAGCGGGGAGGCGTTGATTGGTCGGGGCCTACAGCGCGCAGCGAGCTTGGCGATGGGGCGGAGCCTGCCACCCGCCGGAAGGGGGCGCGCGCCAGGCCCGGAGGCGACGCTTCCATGGAGGGGGCGGAGGCGGGCACGCGGGACGGGGCCGCGCTGTCCCGGGACCTGCTAGCCCTGGGGTAAGCGGGTGTGCGGTATGCCGGGGGGTGCAGGAGGGAGTGGGCTGCCTCAGACGTGGACGGAGAAGGCTTCGCACTGACCCCTGCCCCGCCGCAGGTACGGGCCTTTCCCGGAGGCGGCGTCGCGGGGCGCCTCGTGCCCAGACTTCAGGGCGCTGTGCGCGCGACTGGCGGCGGAGCTGGCGACCCTGGGCGCCCTGGAGTGGCAGGATGAGGGCGCCGAGGTGTTGAGCGTGGGCGACGGTGCGTAGGGAGTCGGAGGGCCGGAGGGGTGGTGTCGCGGGTCCCGCGCCCTGACGTCTGCCGCCTCCCGCAGGCCCCGGCGCGGAGGAGGAATTTCTGCGGCAGCTGCCCGGCCTGCTTCGGGCGTTGCATTGCCCGGATCGCGTGCTCTGCGGCGGAGAAGGACGCGCGGCCGAGCTGCGGGAGCCGAGCGCGAGCACCCGCCTGCTGCGTGAGCCCCGGCGGCCCGGGGATGCGGAAGTGGGCGAGGCCAAGACCTCCGGAGTGGGCGGGCTCAGCCTGTCGGGAGGCGGGGCCAGGGCACTGAGGCCCGCCGGAGTGTCCGAGGCGGGTGGGGTCAGAATTGGGGCGAGCGTCAGATTAGAATTTTTATGAAAGAGTCTGAAAGCACAAACGGATTGAATTGGAAGGGGCAGGGCAGGTGGTTTTGAAGTGGGCGAAAGTCGAATTCCCAAGAGGAGCCAGGGATTCAAGTTAGTGATGCTTACTTTGAGGCGGAGCCTGGGCTCTGGGTAGGCAGGGCTAAAAAGTGTTGCAGTCTTCCCTCCTTGCACCTGCAAAATCCCTTTCCCTATTTTTAGGCTTTCTGTGCTCCGAGCTCCAGGCTGCCCGCCTCTTGCGCTTGCATCCCCCTCTGGACTCCATCCCTGCGCCGCCCCTTGGGAAAGAGACAGAGGAAGGAGCTGACATGGTCCAGGAACTGGTCCTCACCCTCCAAGCCCTGAGACTGCCTATACCCACGCTGGGGACCCCTGCCAGCCAACTGCTCCGTGAATTACATGCTAAGGTAGAGAACCAGGCCCTGCCCTACCCCACCTTGCTTGGGGAGAGCATCATTTCTCCAGAAGCAGCTGTAGCAGGAGTTCCCAACTACCAGAGTGTTTTTTCTAGCTGTAGCCACAATTCTTGTTTTTATGGTCGGGGTCCTCTGGGCCGAGGGGGAACGGGGATCCATGGAGCTGTCTGTCCTGTTTCTGCCTCAGTTGACCTCTGACTTCTCCCATCAGATCTCTGAGCTGCTGCCTTCCTTGCCCCCAGAATCCATGCGGCCCCTCCTCAGCCACCCACTGGATGCACCCCGATGGGTAAGAGTGTGTATGGCAGTGTGTGAATAATGCCCCCATCCAGAGAAGGGGGTGAGAGGTGCTGCTGGCATGACCGAGACCTTTTCTGCCAGGAAGCGCTGGAATCTCTGTCCCAAAGCCTGAAAGATCAGTACTGCTGCCGCCGCTGCCTTCTCCTCAAGCGCCTGGACCTCACAACGTCTGCTTTCCACTGGACCGATCGGGCAGAGGTGTGAGCAAAGGACCCTGGCAGGAACAAGGAGGCCCAGTTGTGGGGGCCACAGCTGTAGAGGGGAGGAAGGAGGGCCAGGAAGGAATATTACCTCTTAAAGGTTCTGAGGCACAGGCCATTTTATACTCTTACAAAGTTTGTGGCTTCTATAATCTCAAGGCCTCCCCAAAAATTCTAGCACTGAGCTGGGAGTGTCATTAGTACTCACCATACCCCTTTGGAGTGATGTAGGCAGTGAGGGTATCTTAGTCTGTCTTGTGTTACTGTGACAAAATATCCGAAACTGGGTACTTTATAAGGAAAAGAGGTTTATCTTGGCTTACGGGTTTGGAGCCTGAGAAGTCCAAGCTTGGGCACCCAGATCTGGTGAGGGTCTCATGCTGTATCACAACATGGTGAGTGACATCACAGTAAGTGCACTACAAGAGTGGATAATGTAGAAGTGGACAAATGTGGAGCGAGTGGCTCACTTTATAACATCTAGCTCTTTTAGTAGCTCATCCAGGCCAGTGAAACCTAACCCACTCCTGCAGCACTGGCATTAATCCCTCCCAAAGGTGATGCCTTCATGACCTGATTAGCTCCCCCTTAAAGGCTCTACCAGTTCTCAGTGCCATTGCACTGGGGACCAAGCTTCTAGCACATGACCCTTTGGAAAACAAACCACATCCAAAGCATACAGTGGCTGTGAGTGGAAGGTGACAGGTCCCTGGGGAGGGCTCTTGTACCTTCTCTATGTGCCCCATCCTCAGGCCCAAGGAAAGGCTATGAAAGCAGTGCTGACCCCACTCCGAGAGGTCCTGACCCCAGAATCTGACGTCTCCATCGCACACGTTCTGGCTGCCCGAGCTGACCTTTCTCGACTGGTTCCCGCCACCAGTGTGGCAGCCCGCCGAGGGACCTGCTGTGCCATCAACAAGGTGGGGGAGGGTCTGGCATCCTGGGCCTTCACATCGGCCTCTCAGCCCTTGCCCTGGTCCACAGTTGTCCTTGCCTCTCCTGATCCCTGCTTCCATGTTCTCCCTGCTTCCTGGCCTCTAGACTCCCCACCCCTAATCTACCCACTTCCTGGGACAGCTGGAAGGAACTTTCAAACCCCAGAATCTGGCCATGGAGTTCTCTAGTTCAAAACCTTTCTGGGGCATCCCAGTGCTTTGAAACCAAAGTCCAGCCGTGAGTCAGCACCTTCCTCTGCAGCTTGGGCTTAAACTCCTTCCCATCACCTCACCCTGTTTTTTTTTTTTTTACCCTGTCTGTTTTATTGGTTTTTAACCGTGCTTTAAAACAGAACTACTCTCTATTTTAATGATTAAGTATCTGGTCTCATACCTCTGACTAAGCAGTCTTAAACTTGTGGTGCGCAAATTTATGGATACTTAGAAAAAACCCACTACTTTGCTAGAAGTGTTGTAAAAAGCCCATAAAGGAAACACAAAATCAAGCTGCTCTCTGAACTTCTGCCGCCACCCTTCCTTTATTTCCTGTCTGCTGAGGCCCTTGTAGCCCCCTGAAAATGTCACGCTGGTATCTTCCAAGAGTCCAGCCACTGTGTACAAACAATCAACGTGTGCTTTTCCTTCTTCAGCCTCGAGCTGTTCCCTTTGCTCTCCAGCCCCTTTACCTGAGAGATATTTCTCTGAAACTCAAGTCTAATCAACTTTCAGGTACTTATGGGTGATGTGCCAGACCGAGGAGGCCGCCCGAATGAGCTGGAGGCACCCATGCCCACCTGGCAGAGCCGGAGAGAAGATGGAGGAGGGCGGAGGGCAGGCCGCCAGCACTGGGGCCAAAAGAAGAAGAAGAAGAAGAAGTAAAGGAGAGTGGGGGCGTCTATCATGAGATGCTAATGGCACTGGTAATCTTTGGGGAGTCAGTTTGAGGGTTTTCCTTGGCACCTGGCACCCAATCCCCTCTCCCCTATCTGAAGGCTCCAGATGTTATATACCCATCCACTACTCAACACCAGAACCATGTTCTCTGGAAAATAAATTTAATTTTCAAAGGAAGTAGGACCTGTTTCTGTGGGAACCAGGTCAGAGGTACATGGGTTTGTGGAGGGGTGGGGGTCTCTGCCCTGGCTCTGGACAGGTCCCTGCTCCTCTGACTCTACAAAGTCTTTCGTTCCTTAGCAACACATCTGTCCCTGTGGGTGTAGGGAAGGAGCGATTCAGATATGAGACAGGACTTATCACATTTCCACCCCAGGCCAGCCCTCTTCTAGGCACTGGGGATACAGCAGTGGAAGACATAGATCAAAGTCCCCGCCCACCTGGAGCTGACATTCCTAGTGAGAGGGGCAGACACCAAACAAGATAAACAGGTGAAATACATAGTTTTTCAGACAAGAAAAGCACTATGGGAAAAATAAAGCAAGAAGGCAGGATTGGCAGTGGGGAGGACCATGTCTTTGAGTATGGTCAGGAAGGCTTCACTAAGGGGCTATCACTAGAGCAAAGTGCCAGGCAGGTTCTCATGGGCCTGATGGGAGAGCATACCAGACAGAGGGAATAGCTGGTGCAAAGGTCCTGAGGTAGGAGTGGTTGGAGTATGTTTAAGGAACACTGAGACTAATGTAACTGAAGCAGGATGAGTGAGCAGGTGAAGGTAGGAGGCAAGGTCGGAGATGTGATGGGGGTAGATCATGTGGGGCTTTGGGGGTGACAGTGAGGACTGGCTTTGCCCCTGAGTAAGAGGAGCCATTGGGGGACTCTTAAGCAGAGGACCTGATTCATGGTTAATACGCTCCACGTTCCAGGTCCTTCCCAACCTTCTCTGCTGTCTCAGTGACCCCACTTTTCAGAACTCTGCCCCCTCCAGCCCTGCCCCCTCTGCCCCTCACCAGTGTCCATGCAGCACATTGGCCCAGAGTTTCAAGTTTAGAGGACTGGATTTGGTTGTTGCTTTTGTTTTTTTTTGAGGCAGGATCTTGCTATGTAGTTCAGGCTGGTCTTGAACTCAGTATGTATTCCAGGCTGACTTCAAACTTGCGGCAATCCTCCTGCCTCAGCCTCCTGAATGCTGGGATTACAGCTGTGCACCACCACACCAGTTGAGGACCAGGGTTTGGGTCCTGCTTCTCACCCTTGGGGCTCTGCCACCTTGGGCCAGCAGTTTAACCTCACCAGGCCTTAATCACCTCGTGCATGCAGTGGATATTTAAGAAGTTGGTGAGATGCCTAAGTCTGCATGTATCCAAAATGAAGCTACCAGATGCTAAGTATAGAAAAAAAGGAGTTTGCATAGTAGTCACTGTGATGCAAAAGAAGAAAAGAACATTTGCAGAGTAAGATGATGGCTGCTTCATCAAAGGCAGTGTGTGTGTGGAGGTTTGTCCTTGGGGGTTCCAGGAGGACAGGAGGCTGGGGAGAGAAGCCCAAGATGATGTCTAGGATTCCAGCTTGGAGGATGAGGTGCACAGTGAGGTGGTCACTGGGAGGGGCACCTGGAAGGAAGAAGACAGGTGATAAAGGGGGTCCAAGATGACTATAATAGTTACTGCCAGGAGCAGTGCCTCACCTGGAGTATGGCTAAGTGGACGAAAGCATGTCCCCTGTGGACTGTGTGTGTTTTTGTGTTTCTCACTCTTATTTTCCCCACTATGTAGCACAGGCTGGCCTTAAAATTGTGATCCTTCTGCCTCAGCCTCCTAGGTGCTGGGATTATACGTGTGGAGCACCATGTCTAGCTTTTTTTTTTTTTTTTTTTAAATCAAATCTGAGTCTCTGCCCTTGAAGAGGGAAATGTACTCCACTAATATTTATTGTAGGTCCTGATATAATTGGCCTTATTTTTGCCATCTTACTGGTTTTCCCCTAAAATCTTCTCCTGTTCTGGGAGCTACCCCTCCCCACTACATATTGAAACTTCTATTTTCCTGTCAACATTAAAAATTGGCCCTTTTCTATACCTTCCCACCCAAGTGACTAGGGCCTTTTCCACATTTTTACTTTGCTTATGATTCCCCAAATTTGTCTGGTTTCCAGTTGCGGGTAGAAGGCAGTTCCAGCTCACCATCTCTGGTTCTCAGGAAGGGTGTGGGGCCTCTGTCTGGGTCCAAATATGGTGAAGGTGGCACCTAGTCTCAGGTTCCAGGGACAGTGTGTAGGAGAAATTTTCCTCGGAGCCTGTTTGGAGAGCAATGGGTAGAAAGGATGTACATATGAGGGAAGGATGCTAGAAGTAATCCCCATCCACTGGGCCCCCTTCCCAGCACTGCTGGGCTTGGTCTCACCACAGCTGGCAGGAGGAGCTGGTGTGGATGGAGCAGGTGTCTCTGGGGGTCCAGCATCACCCTTGGCCCCTGGCCTCTTCTTACACTCTGTCTTCACTTGGTCTCTACAGTGCTTGTGGCAGCACAGCCCACAGTCTGGGGAGAGAGAGGGGTTAGCACCCTTCACCCTTCAGCCTGCAAGTTCTGGCATCCCTCTCACTCCAGGGTACCCCACTCACCCCGACAGCGGTAGCCATGCTTGGTGACACCCCAGAGCTGGGAAGAGAAAGGAGAATAGATCACCTAGGCTGAAGGAGGGAAAGCTGTTGGCTGGGCTGGGCTGGGGAGGGCAGAAATGTGGAAGCTATCCAAGTTTTTTAAATTCTCAAGAATTTGATGATTTAACTTGAATTAAATGAGTTTGGAGATTACCTCAAGCTTGGGGCATCATGCATTTGTAAATTCTGCAGTTAACCAAATGCACATTCTATGCACAGGGGCTGCGTTTATTGTTCCCGTGGTGTGCACATGGAGATGCTCAGTCCGGGCTTAGCAGTGAAAGAATAAATTCGGGAAGTAATTTGAGGTTTATGCTCTAGTCTGTTTGGAGACTGGGAAACCTGTCCATAGTCCAGAGTTAGAGGCTGCCCTGGGTGTGGAAATACAAAGGCTTTGGATGGTTTGGAGTCTAGAAATTTGGAGATGGGCTCTCTGTGGACACAATCTACTCAGGGTATGTAGATTATACAACATTTTGGAGATTACCCATGGATTTTTAGATATGCATGGCTTGGCAATTGTCCCAGGTAGAGATTGTCTGGAGTCTGGGCCTTAACTAGAATGTGAAGATTATCCAGACTAGGAATGTCCAATGTTTAGGGTAAATATGAAGTGTACAGATGATTTGAGGCTGGGGGGGCTGTTTCTGGAATTTGAGAATTATCTGGGTGTGGGGATACTCCCTCCCGCCCCCCACGGCAGAGCTGGCTGCCTTGAGAAGTTGGGGTGCTACAGGGGAGATGGGCTGGGTGGGCGCTAACAGGGCAGGGTGCTCACGAAGCCGCTGCAGCTGTGGCAGAAGGCCGGCTTTCGGAAGGCGACCTCCTGGAAGGTGTGCAGCAAGGCCAGGCCCACCTTGGAGCAGATGCTGCTGGCACGGAGCAGGTACTCGGTCAGCTCCTCTCTGCTGAAGGAGCCGCTCCTGGGGCACAGAGTGTGTCTCAGCATGACAGGTACCTTCCTTCCTCCCGGCAACCCCAGGGTCCTCGTCTTTGGGGGAACCAGGAGGCAGGGCCACTCACTCCAGGCGGGGCGGGGGGTGAAGCCCATGGCAAGCAAAGGGGAAGTTGCCAGAGAGGTGTTCAAAGTCCTCCTGAGAGATGGTGCCGCGTCCTTCAGGGTCATAGTTCTTGAACACCGACTTGAGAGGAGCAGGGAGGGCAGGGTGAGGCGCGGGATCCAGGCCCATCCCCGCGGCCCAGGTGCCCTCCGCCCCTTCAAGTTCACGCAGGAGGCTGTCCTGCACCCTGCCAGCCGCAGTCCCTCCTACCTCTACCAGCTGCTCCACGTGCCTCTCTAGGGTGACCCTGTCGGGCCTGGGTGTCACACCGGGGGCCCACTCCACCACCAGAAGCTCTCTGAAAGGGGAGGGTGGCTGGGGGGAGGACAGAGGGGCTTAGCTGGCGCACAGGCTTGAGCAGGAGAATTACAGGTCAGGGCTCCGTCTCACCAGACTCTTGGGGTAGCGGGGCTCACGGGCGTAGGAAAGCTCGTAGATCTCGTCCTCCGTATAGAAGAGATCCAGGGAGAGCTGCAGGTGGGCAGGTGTTACAGACCCTCCTGTTGCCATCTTGGACCCCTGCTATGCTTTGTGTGTGTGTGTGTGTGGTACTGGGGATTGAGCCCAGGGCCTTTGCACTGAGCTACATCCCCAGCAGTCTTACCTCACTTTTTTTGTTTTGCTTTTTTGAGACAGGGTCTTGCCAAGTCACTAAATTGCCCAGATTGGACTCACACTCATGAGATCCCCGTCTCAGCCTCCCAGAGCACTGAGATTACAGGTGTGTTCTACCAAACCTAGTTCATCCTCTTTTCAAAAACTCCTCCAATCCCAGCACTCAGGAGGCTGAGGCAGGATCACTGAGGAGGATCATTGTGAGTTCAAGACCAGCCTGGGCTACAAGACCAGCCTGAGGTCAAGGCCAGCCTGAACTGCATAGCAAGACCCTGTCTCAAAAGATAAAAACAAAAAACAAAAGTAACCTCCTCCAGAGATCCCTCAGGCTTTCTGTTCCCCACCACCCAGGCATACTCCACACTGCCCCGGCTTTTTCCTAGTTTATAAAGGCCTCATTCTCCCTGAGGCCTTGTGATGTCCCTACTTAAAACCGCAAACTTGATCTCTTCCTGGGCCCCTTTTTTGACCTTAGGTTTCTCTGTAACCCTTGTCTAAAAGTAATAAGACTTAGTCATTTGATATTATTGGCAGTCTCCCCCCAAGAATATCAGCCTTACTGAAGAGCAGTTTTTTTTTTGTTTTTTTTTTTATGGTTTTTCTCCGGTACCGGGAACTGAACTCACGACCTTGCGCTTGCCAGGCAGGCGCTTTTGCCGCTGAGCTAAATCCCCAGCTCCAGAAGAGCAGTTTTTTTGGAGGGGGAGGTAGGGGGGATTGAACCCTGGGCCTTTGGGCTGAAGTACATTGCTAGCCCCCTTCTTTATTTTTTGAGACAGGGTCTCAGTAAATTGCTAAGTTGCCCAGGCTGCACTCAAAATTGTGATCTTCCTGCCTCAGCCTCCTAGAGTGCTGGGATTACAGGTGCGCACCATCGTGCCTAGGTTGAGTATTTATTTGGCACCATGAATCGAACTCAGAACCTTACGCTTGCCAGGCAAATGCTTGTGCCACTGAGCTATATCCCCAGCTGAAGTTTTAATAATTTAGAACAAAGAGCCCATGTTTTCACTTTGCACTAGGCTGTGCCAGTTATGCAACTGTGTTTTAGGATCTAAAAATACACCTTTTTGGTCTTAGTTTACATGGCCCTCAGAGTCTCTCATTGCAGAAATCTTCAGGTAAAGAAGAGATAGCTTCCAGCACTCCAGTTTTAAGACTCAGTACAGGCCGAGTGTGGCGACGCATGCCTGTAATCCCAGCACTCCAGAGGCTGAGGCAGGAGGACTGTTTCGAGTTCGAGACCAGCCTGGGCTACAAAGTGAGCTCAAGGGCCAGCCTGAACTGCATAGGGACACCCTGTCTCAAAAACACTAAAATAAATAAATAAATAAATAAATAAATAAATAAATAATAAATAAAAAAGACTCAGTACAATTGTTAGCACACTGACACACTCCTAACAAGCTGTCCTGCCTTGATTTAAAACACTGATTTTACTACTATGGGACAGTAGGCAAATGATCTCACATGTTTCTGGGTCTCAGTCTTCCAGTCCATTAAATGAGCACAAGAAGGTCCCCACTGTGTGGGATTGTGAATTGGAATGAAGTGATCTGTAGAGTGTTAATGCAGTGACTGGCACATAGCAAGTGACCAATAGCTGTTAGCTTTTTGCTCAGATTCCAGATACATCAATACTTGGAATTTTGAACTATGGGCATGAGAAGCTCAGAACCTGTAGCTGGGTTGCAGGGGTGCACACCTGTTATCCCAGCACTTGGAAGGCTGAGGCAGGAGGATTACCATGAGTATGAGGCAGCCTGTGGTACATAGTGAGTTCAAGCCCAGCCTGAACTACATAGCAAGACCCTGTCTCCAAAAAAAATTGAAAATTAAAAAAAAAATAGCACACAAACTTGGTTCCAAGTGCACGATTCTAGACCTGGAGCTCAGATCAGGGGATACTTGAGTCTTTGGAGGAACCCACAAAAAAATGACATTCACTTATATAGAGCTCACTATACTCCAGATTCTGTTTCAAGTTTTTTAAAAAATATATCAATCATTATTTGTTGATTCTTCTCAATTGCCCTCTGAAGTGGGTCCTATTATTATTCCCACTTTACAGATAAGGAAACTGAGGCCAAGGGATTAAGTGACTTGCCTAAGATTTGAGTTCCAGCACTATCTGTCCAGGCCCTGCAGAGCCTCAGTGCCCAGGATCCTGACTCTCATTCCCTCCGGGCTCTGCTCACCGTGAGCAGGTGCAGCAGGTCCTTGCTGGCACTGCAGGGGGGTTGCTGCTGCTGGAGGGCTTCCAGCTCTTGCAGTCGCAGGTACAGGCTGTTCAGCTTGGACAAGTGCAGGCGGCCATCAGGCAACCTGTTAGGCCGTGCCTCATGCAGGGACACCAGGTCCTTGAGGTGCACACCAAGCACAGGCAACCGGAAGCCTGTGCAGCTGCCCCAGGTGCGGCGGTAGCAGACGTAGTTGTTGTGGGAGGCAAGGAGTTTGGTCAGCTCCAGGAGGGCCTATGTGGGAGGGGTGTGTTATGGAGGAAATCAATTTTGTTCCTCCAGCCCCTCTGAGGGAAGGGTCCTAGCAGCTTCCTCTGTGGGTTCGAGCCCTTCCCTATCCCACGCTGGCTTGCTTTCTTTTGGCCCTGGGAACTGAACTCAGGACCTTGTGCTTGCCAGACAGGCACTTGTGCCACTGAGCTATATCCCCAGCCTGGCTTTATTTATTTTTAGTTTTATTGTTCTTTTGATTTTTTGAGACAGGGTCTTGCTGTATAGTTCAGGCTGCCCCTGAACTCACTATGTAGCCCAGGCTGGCCTCAAACTTGCAGCAATCCTTCTGCCTCAGCCTCCCAAATTCTGGGATTACAGGCATGCGCTACCATGCCCGGCCCACATTGGCTTTAGCACCTCCCTCCAACTATGCTCCTCTCACCTCTCTATCACAGAGAGGCCCTATCATCTGCTATTCCCCAAGACAGAGTAATTTAAAAACCTGAATCTGATCATGGGTGCTAGCATCACTTCCAAACCTTCCCTACACCCCACTGACCTTAAAATGCAAATATCTTGGGCCAGCTAATGTAGGGCTCAACAGGACCTTCCCCTGGACATCTCCAGCCCATTTTCCTACCACTTCCTGACTTCAGCCACAGACCAGACTTGTCTCATTTCCTAGACACTTCCCAGGACATCTTCCAACCCATGTTCCTCCCTTGAGTGGCCCAAATATTAGCATCTTTAGCTGGGTGACTCAGCTGGCCACCTGGACGGCCAGCTGTCAGCATCTCTCTCCCTCCCAGCCCAGCTCAGGATCAGACCCATGAGGACAGAGAGGTCAGTGCCTCCGCGGTGACAGGGGGGAGGAATCCCGCCTGGGGTCTGCGGGATTCAGAGGAGCAGCGTCCTCAGGTGGTTCCAGAGCTTGGCGGGGATGGATGGGGGCTGGGGAATGAAGTGTGGGGTTCCGGATAGCTATGCACTTGTAATTTTGGAGAGTGGGGTGGGGGTTCACCTTGGTGCTGTCAGGGCTCAGGTGGGCGTGGGAGTCCTTGAGCCTGGAGATGGCACTGTGACACAGGCCCCCGGTAACTGCCATGAGTGTGTTGAAATTCTGCAGCTGGTGGAGGCTCTGAGAAGGAAGGCGATGCCAGAGATGACAGGTGTCAACAAGGGCAGGCAAGGGGGAGTTCAATGCAGCGGCTGAGTCCACGTCAGGTATGTGTGTGGGCCATTGGGGATTCCCTCACCCTTCCCTAAGTTGGAAGGGCGGAAATCGCCGCAGAGAGAAATGGAAGATGCTCAGACCATGCGGACCCCAGGCCAATGCCAGAACCCTCAGGTCTAGCGAAGCACCAGTAAGAGGAAGCAAAGTGAGGAAGGCAAGAGGAAGGGCGTGGTGCGCCTGGAAATACGCGAGGGGCGTGGCCCAGCAGCGAGGGCTTCCCTTTTCCCAGAAGGGCGGGGCGCAGCCAGCGGCGGGGCGAGCCTGGGGCTCCGGGAGCGAGGCGGGCCCCGATCCGAGACCGGAGACCGGAGTGGGGCTTGGGAGACGGCGTCAGGAGGGGCTTAGTCAACTGCCGCGTCTAGGGTCAAGGGCTGGGGAAGGACGGGGCGGGCGAGGCGGTGTCTAGGCAGAGAAAGGCGGAGGTCAGAGCAGCGGCCGGCCGCCTCGGGGAGGGGAGGGGCCGGGGCGGGGCCCGCTGGGGCCCAAAGCCTGCGAGCCGCGGGGTCGGCTTGCGGCACCCGCGGGACGGGCACCCAGAAAGCGAGCGGAAAGGCGCGGTGCCCTCACCTGTGCCACGTGGATGAACTTGTCCAGCACCTGCGCTCGTTGTGCAGGCCCGGGACGGCTCAGCACCATGACCTGCACCCAGCGGGACACGCTGTTGCTGAGACCCACGGAAGCCTCCAGGGCCGGGCAGCCCCGCACGGAGCCCTGCAAAACGTAGCCCCGTAGGTCCTGGGGCTGGGAGCGAGGTGGGCGTCAGCGGGGCTGTGCCCCTCGCGTCCCGTCCCTCTAGCATTCAGAGCCCCGGTGTCCTAGCCTGGCCTAGCCCGAGTGTCTTTTGTCATCTGTCTCCCCTCAACCTACCACGATGGTCCTCTCCCATCTAAGGAGAAAAGTTTAAATAAAGTCAGGTACAATTCTGAGCACTTTATCATGCGAACTCATTTAATCCTCAAAACTCTACAGGGCGGGGGCTGGGGATTTAGCTCAGCGGCAAAAGCGCTTGCCTGGCAAGTGCAAGGTCGTGAGTTCGGTTCCTGGTACCGGAGAAAAACCAAAAAAAAAAAAAAAAAAAAACTCTACAGGGCGGACCCATACTATTATTGTCATGTTAGGGATGAGACAGTTGGGGCACAGAAAGGGTAGGTAATTCCCCCGGCGTTACACAGGCGTGAGTCAGGGCAGGAACCCGGTGTACGCTCCTAACTGCATACCTGGCTGGTACAGTCAGCAAAGGGAAGAACTTGAAACCAACTTCTACTTGTGCTCAGCGGTATGTAATTCCACACCCACACCCACACCCACAGTACCGTCTGTATGTGTATTTACATGCACAGAATCAGGAAATTTTCCTGTGAGGGAACTGGAGCCCCACCTTGCCTTGGATCGGTGATGTCCACATGGCGTTAGGTAACCCACATGTACACTGCAGCCCATGGCACTGACATTTGGGTGGGTGAAGTAGGGCAGTTTCAAATGATTCTACCAGGCAGTGTTTACTCTAGATCGGGCTCTGTTCTTGTAAGGTAGGGACTTTTAATATCCCCTTTTACAGAGGAGGAAACTGAGTTACAGTAAACTGAAATGCTTGTTGAGGAAATGAAGAACTGATTAAAAATTTTTTGAGCACTTACTACATGCTAGGAACTGTGACAAGCACTTGTAAATGGCATTTTAATCCTCCCACCTTCCAATGAAATATTATGACTTTTACAAGTGAGCCTAGTGAGGCTGGGAAGCTAGTTCAGAGATGCTCAGATAAGGAACTGATGGGCCTGAACCCCAGGGGCTCTGTGCTCGGCCAGGTTAACTCATTTCTCCAGGTGTGACAGTTGAGTTTGGGTTTAGGTCTGTTGCTCAGTGGTAAAGTACAGGTTGGCTCTCCAGCAACCCCCCCCCCAAGATCCCAGCTGGATTTCCTGTGGGGGGCGCTGCCCCACCCAGCTCTGTCCTGCTCAGGGGCAGGAAGGGGACTCCTCACCGTGATAGCTTGAAAGGCCTGGAACTCCAGGTAAGTGAGGTGCTCTGCCAGTTCGTCCGTCTTCAGGTGGTCGAAAAGCAAGGACACTTTGCACTTTTTGCCCAGCTTTGGGCTGCTTATGGGAGGTGGGGGGCCAGGGCCACCAGGGTTCAGGCTGGGGGCCGAGAGGGACAAAGAATTGGAGTGGTGCGGAGGTGAGGGGCTCAGGGGTGTGGCGGGAGATGGCAGGCTAGGGATGGGAGAGGGAGGGGGCATGGGGCTGCCTCACAGGTTGGAGGTGTCTCCCAGGCTCCTCTGGGTCGAGTTGCCCTCCTGGGTCACGGTGGCCCAGAAACGCGCTATAACTTCTTCTAGCTGAGGCTCCTGGTGCACTGCCTCTGGGTGTCGGGTCATCCAGTACCTGAGAGAGGTTTAGAGATAGGTGGGATGAGGCAGGGCTGGGGGTAGGAAAGATCTTCTCAAGGGGTCTTTTGGGCTGAGGAATCTCTGGATGCTGAGCTAGGAATGTCTACACGTGTGCTTGGGTCTCTGGAGGGATAGGGGACTCTCTGGGGTAGGACTGGAGGTGTCAACACAGGCTGGGAGAGCCTATGGGCATCATGGGGAGAGCTCTTAGAAGTGGGAGTGTTGGGAAGCATGACAGTTGGGGGTCCCAGGAAATACAGTGTGGTTCCTGTGGGTGAGACTTGGGGTGAATATTGTGGGAGGGTCGTAAGGGCTAGGTTGGGATATGTAGGAACTGGGGGCTTGGGAGATCAGAGCTGGAAGTCTGACAGCTGGCGGAGGGTTTAGGGCATCTGGTGAGGGTTGTGAGGAGGAGAACTGGGAGGGTCTCAGGTACCAAGCCAGGGGGAACTCAGAGAGAATTTTAGGGGGTAGAGCTGGGGCTTCTGAGAGGTGTTTTTTTTTTGGGGGGGGCAGCAAAGTGGGAGTCTTGGTTCATGAGAGTGGGGTCTTGGCCCAGCCCTACCTGACCAGGTGACAGATTTGCAGCTGCCTCAGCTCCTGTGTGTCCTTTGTGGCCTTTTGGTACTTGAGTTCTGGTCAAGGCTCTGTTGTCCAACGTCCAGACCTAGCTCGTCCCCTCCCCTCATCTCCCACGCTGTCAGGAGTCTCCCCTCCTCCCTCCACCCACAGCTCCTGGTCCTGGGAGGATATAAGGTCAGCATCCGGGCAGCGAGGTCAGCAGAAGGCAGCACCCAGCTGTGCATGGCCAGCACCATGTTGATAATGTGGCTCCCACGGCGCAGGCTGCCGGCTGAGTCTGGGGCAGCAGAAGGGGGCTCTGTCAGAATGGCCCTTGGGCCGGGGATATAGCTCAGCGGCATAAGTGCTTGCCTGGCAAGCCTAAGGTCATGAGTTCGATTCTCGGTACCAAAAAAAAAAAAAAAAAAAGAATGGCTCTTGGACAATGGAGTGTCTGGTTCAGGTGCCAGCTCTACAGTGATGCCCTGGATGGATTTGGGCAAGTAGCCTAACCTCCTTGTACCACAGTTTCCTTGTCTGTACCATGCATGGGCCAGCACCATGCCTGGCAAGTCTTGTTGAAGATGGAGTCCTGCTCCCCTTTCTCATCTCAGGAGAAAAGTAAATACAGGTGTTTCTTAAAGGAGTGATGGAGATTTGTGTCTCCCCTCTTCCCACTGAATCCAGTGCCTTTGCACTGAGCTACATATCCAGCCTTTTTTTTTTTAATTTTTATTTTGAGATAGGGTCTCGCTGTGTTACTCAGTGGCCCAGGCTGGGCTTGAACTTGTGGTCCTCCTCCCTCAGTTTCTCAGAGTGCAGGGATTACAGGCACGTCCGCTACCATGCCCAACTCACACACCAATTTTATATCCCCAAACACTGTGGCTGAGAGAGGGGAGTGTGTGTCGGGATGTTAGCAGTGGGAAGTGGACCAGGGTGGTGGGGACACTCACCGAAGGATTGGATGCATTTCTCCAGGAGCTCATCTTCGCTGCAGCTGGTCTCAGCCAGCATGCCCAGATTCATGGAAGCTAAGACCTTGGTGATTTCCCCAGGACTGGGGCATGTCTTGTGGCGCCTGGCCTGTCGGGGCCGGTCCTGCCCCCCTGCCTTCCGGAAGCATTCCTGGTGGGACTTCCTGTGGGTAGACACTCCAGAGAATTATGAAAGCCCCCCTCCACCTTGAGACAGGGTCTTGCTTTGTAGTTCAGGCTGGCCTTGGACTCACTATGTAGTCCAGGCTGGCCTTGAACTCATGGCAATCCTCCTGCCTCAGCCTTTCGAGTGCTGGGATTACAGGCATGCACCGCCACACCCAGCCAAGAGCCCCTTTGAGCAGACCCTCAGAATTTCTCTTGACTCCAGTGCCCCAAGGAATCATAAGAAAAACTTCCCACAGGCAAAGTCCCAGAATTACTCCTGATCTACCATGGACTCATGGGAGAGACTCCCAGGAAATCACAGAAGACCTTCCAAGGAATCACAAGAACTCCTCCAGCCTCTGCTCCCAAACTGTCTGTCCTAAGACTTCCCGGAAGAGACTTTCTAAGGACCTCCCAGGGAATCAAGGAGGAAGGGCCAGCCCTAGGATCACTCGTGTCCTTCCCAGGGCTATGCATGGGAGGGTCAGCCTTCAGGCTGACTTCTGGCTCAGCCCTCCTGGAGCTGACTCCTGCAGGGAAGCTCCTGAGATTTTATCTCTCTTCTGGTCCTCCTGCACCCCAGGCAGGTGACATACCCTTCCTCCAAGTCGGCTAGCTCTTCATAGGCCCTGGAGTCTTTGCTTCCAGCTTGGGTCCCTAATTTGAAGCCCAGAGAGGAAGTGCCATTGTACAGTGGACTCTCTAGGGCTCCTTGGAGCTAGGCGGAGTCCCTGAGGCTAAGGCAGCTTCAAGGAAAGTTTAAAAATAACTCTCCTTCTGCCGGGTGGTCCCCAGGGCTCCTGCTCCAAGTGGGAAAGAGGGTAGTGGAAAGACAGGGTAGAGGAAGTAGGAGGGAGGAAGGCAGGGAAGAAGGGAGCAGGCTCCAGAGTCAGACAAACATCAGTAATCCCAGCACTCAGGAGGCTGAGGCAGGAGGATCGCTGTGAGTTTCAGGCCAGCCTGGGCTACAAAGTGAGTTCAAGACCAGCCTGAACTGTGTAATGAGACCCTGTCTCAAAAAGAAAAGAAAAAGAAAAAAATTCGAAAATTTTCTGCTGGCTGTATGATCTTTTGTGAGTCATTTATTTCACTGGTCCTCAGTTTCCTCAAAGGAAAGTGAGGGTCATCTTTGGGCCTTCCCCAAGAATTTATCATCCACACCCATTGCCTGGCTTCTTGAAAGTGCTAGTAACTGAGTTGGTCTCTGCCCAGGCTAGTTAGTGTCCCAGAGGTGGAAAAACTGAACTTGGGGTAAAGGAGAAAAAGGGAGGGGGCAGAGAAGAAGCCCCTGGCACTGAGGTGAAACCAGAAACAGGAAGACCCTCAGGACAAAGGCACTGCCATACTCCCTGGTACATCCTATGGGCTCAGTAGATTGGCACTGGATATTGAAAAAATTAGCTGAGTGTGGTGATACACGCTTGTGATCTCAGCATTCTGGGAGGCTGAAGCAGGAGGATCACAAGTTCCAGCCCAGCCTTGGTAACTTAGCAAGACCCTATCTCAAAATTAAAAATAAAAAAGGGATGGGGATGTGGCTCAATGGGAAACCCTGAGTACTGAAAAAATAAAAATAAAAAGGCAGTTACTGAGGAGTAGGGTGAGGGCTGTGCGTTTCGATCAGTAGCTCTCAAAGCTCAGTCACCAGTGCGAAGAGCGTCCCTGGAAACTTGATATAAATACACATTCTCCAGCCCTCTCCCCGCCTACAGAATCCAGAACTGAGTTCTGTCCAGCTACCCGCGGTTTACAAGTCCTCTGCCTGGTTCTGCTACCTGCTCAGGTTCGCGCACCAGTGGTCTACACTGTCTTACTGACCATCATGGGCCCTTCATCACAGGCTCTATGATTATCCTATTAACAGAAAAAGAAAGAGACACAGAGCAGCTCAGTAACTTACCTAGTCACACAGCCAGGAAATGAAACAGGTAGGATCCCACCACTGAACTGTTGAATAGTATGGGGAGAGAACCACTTCGCTCCTCAGAATCATGCTGGGGGTGCTGGGGGAGCTACCCACTGGGGACAGGAGGGCAAGCTCGCCTGGGAGACAGGAGCCCATTCCACAGCCCGCTGGCACAGGCGGCCACCTTGGTCGCGGTTAGTGTCTGCAGCAGCCCAGAGAAGTCTACGAGGCAGCGGGCCGCCTCACCCTCTGTCGCCTTCCCCTGTCCTGGGGCAGGGCCCTCAGCAGCCTGGAGCTTCCAGTCCAAGGGGTCAGCCACTGGGACAGAGCCAGACTCCGAGGAGGAAAGAGCCGCCCGGCTCAGGGCACCGGGATGGAGGGGCCGGGGGAGGGAGAGGGAACACAGGGGAGCTCGAACCCCAAAGAGGACCAGACACAGACACACACGGAAGGCAGCCGCAGCCCTGGCTGGCTCTGGACTCCCTGAAACAGCTCATTGCCTGCACCCCCCAGCCTGTCCCGGAGGAGCCCGACATCCTACCCTCCCGGTCAGTGGTCCCCCAATCTTTCCACACAGCCCGAGGCCCAGGAGCTGTGGAGGCTCCCCGGTCTTCGGGGAGGGTCCTCTCACCTTTTCACGTCTTTCCTGTTCATAGTTCTTGGATGGCGGGGGGCTTGCAGGAGTTGACTCAACTCCTCCCCACTGGCCAAGGTTCCAGCTTCTCAGCCCCTTGGGAGCTGGGGCCTGCTCGGTGCTTGGGAAGGAAAGAGGAACTGCCCCTCCCCACCCACCCCAGGCCAGGGGGAAGGAAGAGGCTGGGGAGAGACCAAAGGCTCCCCCTCCCCCCACGAGGGGATCCCTGCAGGCTGAGGTTTCCGGCACCGCTGCCCCCACCCGCTCGCCCAGCCCGGCTCTCAGCTATCTCCCCATCTTTCTTTTTTTTCTCCCCATCTTTCTTGTCTTGAGACCCATCACTGTCACACTTCAATAAAAGCAATTTTTTAAAAGTGTGACTAATATTTATGTAAAAACACATGTACACTCAAAAGAAGTCCCTGTTTCTGTAAGAACCTATTCTTGTACATAAAGCACAAAGGCTTGACTGGAAACTCACAAGACAGAAAACTTTGTGCCTTTCTTCTTTTGTTTCTTTTCTTCCCGGGTTAGTTTTAAGGATACTATTTGTACCCTGGAAACATTTTCATTTTATTTCTTTTAATGGAATGTCCCCTTGTGTAACATCTACTGTGTACCATACACTGGTCTTAAAGCTTTTAAAATATTAACTCAACTCCGGGTGTGGTGGCACATGCCTGTAATCCCAGCACTTGGGAGGCTGAGGCAGGAGGATGGTTGCGAGTTCAAGGCCAGACTGGGCTACATAAGTGAGTTCAAGGCCAGCCTGAACTGCATAGTGAGACCCTGTCTCCAAAAAAAGACAAAAAAAAAACCAAACAAACAAACAAAAAAAACAAACTATTAACTCAATGCACTGTTGACATTATAATAATATTGCAAGTGGAGAGAAACCTGCTCCCATCCAGTTTTTCCCCTAAGCAGGAGTGACCAAGATTACATGTAATAACCTAATGAGGTTTCATTGGAGCTATGCCCATGCATTTGTCTACATAAATGTGTGTCCATGGAAACAGACTTTTCTTTTGAGTATGTGTTTTGTTCTTTTACCGAAATGTGTCATGCCTGACATATTTTTTAATTGAAGTACCAAAAAGGAGCACACATTGTTAAGTATTTAGGTTGATGAATCATCATCACCAACTGAGCAAACCCGCTTGGCTTTCATATAAATGGTGAAAGAGAGCATTTCCACTTTCCACGTGTCCCCTTGTGCCCTTTGCTAGCACTGCCTCCCACAAGTTACTACCAGCCTGGTGTGGAACAGTAGTTTCATCTACTTTTAAGGTGTAAATAAGTGGACTCATGTATTGTAGCTGGCTTCCTTCATTTGGCTTCAGGTCTTTTTGATTCTTCTGTTTATTTATTAATTTATTTAGTCTTTTTGAGACAGGGTCTTGCTATGCAGTTCAGGCTGGCCTTGAGCTCACTTTGCAGCCCAGGCTGGTCTCGAACTCGCAACAATCCTCCTGCCTCAGCCTCCCAAGTGCTGGGATTACAGATGTGTGCCACCCCGCCTGGCTTCCTGTTCTTTTATTTGGTTACATTTTCTTCCTTTTTGTTAGTGTGGAGTCCTTTTTATTGAGCATAGTTCACAAAATCACATAGGTAGAAGGTATACAGTATTTTTAGATACATGCACATTGTCAAATGACTACTGCAATCAAAATAATTAACATATCCACTGACTCAGATACTTACAGAAAGCAACTCACATACCTATAGAACTCACACACTTATGCTTGATTTTCTGCACTTCAAAACGTTTTACAAGTCAAAAAGTACTCTTAAAGCTGGGGTGTAATGGTGCCTGCTTGTAATCTCAGCACTCTGGGAGGTAGAGGCAAGAAGACTGTCAAATTTCAGCCCAGCCTGGGCAATTTAGTGAGATCTTATCTCAAAATGAAAAATAAGTGCAGGGCCTGTAGCTTATTCGAAGACCTAAAGGCCACAGGTTCAATCCCTATTAGCACAGAAAGTAAACAACAAAGAAAGAAACAAAAACTCTTAAATAAAAAGAAAGACATGCTCAGCATCTAAGAGTATAGCATTCTGGACAATTTCTTGATCTGTACATTAATGTGTTTTTGAAAATATAAAATTGGCAATGCCATATATACTGTCTCATAACCTGCTGTTTCACTTCCCAGAGTGTAGGGGACGCCTATTCATCTCAGTAAAACCATGTTCGTATAGTGATCTCCTGCCCAAGTACTAAGCAGGCCCGACCCTGCTTAGCTTACAAGATCAGACAAGATTGGGCATGTTCAGGGCGGTGTGGCCATAGACTACATTGTGATCTCTCTCTCTTTCTTTTTTTTTTTTTTTTTGTCTTTTTGAGACAGGGTCTCGCTATGCAGTCCAGGCTGGCCTTGAGCTCACTTTGTAGCGCAGGCTAGTCTCAAACTCGTAAAGATACTCCTGCCTCAGCCTCCCGAGTGCTAGGATTACAGGCATGTGCCACCATGCCTGGTGATATTGTGATCTCTTAATGATTTAATTGATAACTTTTTTCTCATGACCCCATTGCCTACCCTTATTGTATAGTCTTTTATTGTGTGACATTTCCATGATACACTGATCCTTTTCTGTGATAGACAATTGAGTTGCTCCCTTGGAGTTGTTAGGAGTAATGCCACAGTGAATATTTTGTTTCTGTGATCGGACCCAGGGCCTTGACCGTGCTAAGCAGGCACCACCCCGGCTGTGCATATCTGAGCAGTTGGCTTTTAGTAAACATAAACAGTACAGTTTTGTAGTTTAGCACCCAAGCATTGAATAAATGAGTCACAGTACAGTAGTATGATTCTGCCAAACCTGGTATGTTAATCGATTCAACCAAACAACCCTCTCAGAAATATATTTTTATTTCTTTCTTATTCTTGCCAAAAGAAATCATTTTAAATTTTTCTTTTTCTTTCAATACCACAACATTAAGACAGGTATGGAGCTCATTCTGTTTAGAATACACACAGATCATCCTGGCTTGGTAGTGCACACCTGTAATCACAGCACTTTGGGAGGCTGAGGCGGTAGGATTGCAAGTTTGAGCCCAGCCTGAGCAACTTAATGACTTTGTGAGACCCTGTCCTCAAATAAAAAATAGAAAGGCTGGAGATGCAGCTCAGTGTGAAGCCCCCTGGGTTCAGTCTCGAGTACTGATAAAAAGAAAACAAAAGTATCCCTTGAGGTACATAGTTTGAGATGCTCTTTCCTCCCACCTCCTTCCCATCTCTCTCCCCCTTCCGGAGCAGCTCTTTGGCCCATCTCCTGCTGCTTCTGCTCCCTCTGAGCGGCTGATAGTGTGCAAGTTGCCAGGCTCTGGGGAACCAGAAAACCCACAAGGAGGGAGCTTGGAACAATCCCTGCTTCTTGGATAGAGACATTCGGCCCTCGGGATGGTTGTTATCAACAATGACAACACTGATGACCACACAGGAAAAGATTTCTGAATCAAACTGCAAAGACCCACAGGGCAGAAAAATGATGCATTTGATAAAAAATATGGATTTTCTTTCAGCACAGATACCATGGGACAAACATGAGATGACAGGAGGGCACAAGGTATTTGCAATGTTTAGAATCAAAGCAAAAATATCTAGGATGTCCAGGGAACTGCTGCAAGTCAGTAAGAAGGAAAAAACCCAGACACCTTGATAGAAAAGTGGGCAAAGAGCACGAGCAGGCAACAAGGAGCCCCGAAACGCTGAGACACCTGAGAAGATGGGAGACATCCTTGGCTGCTGATGAGGGAGGTGCCAGTTACAAGGGCAGTGCGTCAGCCCATGGGCCTGGCAGAAATTAGAAGTTGGAAAATGCCAGGTGCAGGTTGGGGATATGGGGACCTGGGCCCTTGTGCAATAACGGGACAGCCATCCCCCGGGGGCACCACTTAGGCAAACCGTGTGCATGGGTTGTCACTGATCATCAGCTCTATAGTGTGTGCACAAAACCTTCTCCCGCAGCTCCCCGGGGCGGGGGGATACTTTTCAGGGAACCAGGAGCACTTGGGTGCTCACCCACGGGGCAGTGCATGACTAAATGGAAGGCGTTTATCATCAAGCAGTCCTGCAAAGTCACCACTGCGCTACCCAGGTGCCCACACAGCCATGTGGATAAACACACAGTGATGACAGACACAGCGGAGAAATACTAACTATAGTTCACAGACACGGAATAATGTTCAATTTTGTATAAAAATTTAAGGACAACAATATTTAATATACAATTACATATGATAGGATGTATGAGATATAACAAAAAATTTTTCAGATATAACAAAATTATACTGGGCTGCATAATTACAGTAACATAAATATGTAATATATCACATAATGCATAATTAATTACAGGATTCAAAAATACAGTTCAAACTTATGTGATATTTAATACAATTAGCATCAGTGTTTAACTCTGCAACACCTAGCAATCTATTATACATTCAATAGCACTTTTCAATTTCATTGAACTATAGGTTATTGTTTTATATAATAATATATATACTATATGCTAATAATAATTTTAATAGACTCTTGTATTAATCAGTTATCATACGGTATGTTCTAATTTTTTGTTTTTGTTTTTTTGATTTTTTTCTGGTACCAGGAACCGAACTCACGACCTTGCGCTTGCCAGGCAGGCGCTTTTGCCGCTGAGCTAAATCCCCAGCCCCGGTAGGTTCTAATTGATTTCCCTTTTTTTTTTTTTTTTTTGTCTTTTTGAGACATTATGCAGGTTGGCCTTAAATTCAATTTGCAGCCTAGGCTGGCCTCAAACTCACAGTGATCCTCTTGCCTCAGCCTCCTGAGTGCTGGGATTACAGGTGTGCGCCACCACACCTGGCTTTGACATCCTTACAAAGCCTTCCTCACAACACCATAGAGACTCTTCCAAATTAGCCCAGTTGACAGATAAGGAAACTGAGCCCTGAGTCCCAAAGTCACCTGCCTGCCTGGCACTAAGGTCCAGGAGTGTGGAGTCCCTGCTCTAGGCCTGCAGAGTCCACAGCTGCCAGTTCTAGGACACTGCCATAGCCCGCCTGCCTGGGACCCCCAGAGCGCAGAGCAGTTAGGGAGCAGCATGGTGAGCCACAGGGAACAGATTACCTAGCTCTTTCCCCAGGTTACAGAGTCCCCGGTGTTCGTCT